GGTAGGGGGATGAAGAAAGGTTGGTTAATGGGTACAAACATACAATTAGATAAAAGGAATAAGTTCTAATGTTCAATAGCAGAGTAGGGTGACTACAGTTAACAACAATGGATATTTCAAAACAGCTAGAAGATTTGAAATGTTCTGGACACACAGAAATGACAAATCCTTGAGGTGATGGACACCCAAAGACCCTGACTTTTTGGGCACAGTGGCTCACACCTGTAATCCCAGTACGTTGAAAGGCCTCCTGGGGAGGATGGCCTGCAGCCAGGATTTCAAGACCAGCCTGGGCAACATAGCAAGACCTGGTCTCTAAAGTAAATAAATAAATAATTAACTGGGCATGGTAATGCATACCTGTCATCCTAGCTACTTTGGAGGCTAAGGCAGAAGGATCACTTGAGCCCAGGAGTTCAAGGCTGCAGTGAGCTATGATCACACCATTACATCCGAGTCTGGATGACAGAGTGAGACCCTTTCTCAAAAAAAAAAAAAAAAAAAAAAATCCCTGACATGATCATTAAACATTCTATGTGTGTAAAAAGTATCATATGCCAGCCATAAATATGTACAAATAGTATATATCAATTAAAAAAAGAAACTGAACCTTGGGTAGGTTTTATTTTCACATTTCTGGTGAGTTATCTATTAATAATTATATCTGAACTTTCAAAGCTACTTTGCCCACACAGTAATAACCAAAATATCTTGGTTTTTTTCTGAGCCAACTCTCCTGACTAAATAAAACACCCATACAATTCAGGGAAATGGCTTGGGGGGGAGGGCTGGAGGGGGAGGGTGGGGAGGGGGAAGCAGGCTTCTTGTGGTTTTCAAAATAATACTGCCACCTTGTGGACTAATGGTGAGCTGAGGCAGGTTGTCTAATGCATAATTTCAAATTTACCTGATTAAAATTCTCAATGGACAAGAAGGGCAGCTTCCAGAAACATCTTTGTGTCTCAGGAAAAATGATGTAATAATTTCATGTTGTGCATAGTAACCAAACTGCCATTTTCGTATAAATTGCCAAACTGGATCCGATAAGAATTCATGTATTCATTCACTCAACACATATTTTTTAAGTACCAGCTTTGTATTGCGGATAAAGGACACAAAGGTGAATAAGGACGTGTTCCATGTTTCTAGAAAATAAGATCCTATTCCTGTAGTGATTGAAAATATGTACTCTTGAAGCACATGGCCTGAGTTCAAATCCCAAATTTGCCACTAACCAACTGTATGACGTTGGACAAGTCACCTACACTTTATACATCACCTCAGTGTCATTATGTGCAGAAATGGAATAATCACAGCTTCTCGTGCAGTTATCAGGTACTCTATGTGTGTTAAGTATCGTGTATGCGTGATACGGAGGTCTCCAGGGCGGCTGGCATCCTGGTAGGCGAAGAGCAGCAGCAGGGAAGAGGCATTACCATACAAAGACTTTGGGGTTGGAAAACAAAAGTCTTGCTCTCTGGGATCAGAATAATCCATGTTGATTTATTTAGCATACTCCTCAAAATGCACACAAACTTAGGCAAAAGCTTGCTCAATGCAGAATTGCTTGTGACTGCAAAAGGCTAAAAACTACCTAAATGCCCATGACAGGGGACTGGTTAAACTGATTATGGCACAGCTGTATAGTAAGCTAGGAGGCCAGCATAAAAAAAAGAATGAAGTAGAGCTATCTGTACTGAGATGGATCAACCGCTAATACATAATATGTGGAAAACCTGAAATGCAGAACAGCAGCTGTAGTGTGATCTCTCATTTGCTTAGAAGTGAGTTTGTACATTTACATGGTTAAAGATGTGTAAATATTTGGGGGAGAATATTGTGTAGATTGGCTCTCTTACCTTCTGCTCCCTCCTCCTCTGCTGTATCCTCCTTTGGGATGCCTTCGGAACTGTAGAGCTGGAAAGCTAAAAGCCATAGTTCCCAGATTCCTTTCCAGATAACCCTCTGGATGCAAAATTGGGCTCCTCCAATTAGATATACTAACGTGATATGGAAGTCAGGAGTGAGCGGAAGGCCAGCTTCCTGCTTGTTACTGTCAGCAAGCAAGGCAAGGAGATGGGGACTGAGAAGCAATTGTGACAAAGTGACCCAGCTTGCCAGGGTCTATCCTCTGGCTTCATGGTGGCAGCAGCAGTAGCTTTTTGCTCTCTGGAACCATGCTCTTGAATAGTCGCTCCACCTGCAGCAATCCCTCCCTCCTATCCCTACTCTTCTAGCCCTTCCAATGATTTCATAAGGACCTATTTCCCTGTATTAAGTCCTGTCTACTTTAGCTTCCTAGAAGATGTCTATTTCCTCCCCCAAATTTAAGGTCTCTGTCAGGGAAAGTTTCAAGCTTTTCAACTCAATCTCCCTTCCTTTCTCCCTGCCAAGGTAAAGAAAATTACCAAAATCAAGTATATGTTCAGGGCTGGGCTTTTTAATAAACATTACTGAGTTTCAAAAGCAGAAACTCTCTGCCCCACCTCCTAACTCTCTCTTACCTAGTTCATGTCAAAAACAGAGTCCACCAGTTGTCACAGGGCTTAAATTTTAAAGCATTGACTAAAACATAGACACATTATAATAGAAATAATTCAGGGGATTCACTTTTTTGATTAGAGAAGGAAGAAGAAGGGAGAGGCATCTGACAATTCTGCAAGCATTAGGTATTCCTCCAAAAAAGAGGAGGGCAGCTGTTGAGGGCGGTGGGGTGTCGGCAAGGAGGCTGAGGAAAACAAAGTCTGTAATGGCCAGAGTTTGCCTAGAACTCATCCTGCTGTTCCATTTTATCTTCTTGAATCTCATTCTCAATATGCAGCTGTCTGTATTCTATTTAGAGAGGATGTGAGTTAAGCATTTCTAGTTAGAATGGTGAGAGGTCCCAGGGCATGGTAGTGGCCATCTTCAACATGAGAAGTCTCAGGAGATCAGAGGGCTGCTTCATTCCCAGTGTTATCACAGCCCAAGGACCTCAGGGCACACAGCTGGCAGTCTAGAAATATTTGTTAAACAAATAAACAGAAGAATGCCAATGTGTGCGTACAAACTATGGTGCTGCCTCAGCATCACCCAAGACTGCCAAGGTGAGGTCCCTCTCCTCCAGCCTGATCAGGGGAGGTAGAGAGCATGGATGACAATCCCGACCTCTCCTCAGACCCTGAGCTGCTAGAGAAAATACCTGGGGAGCTAGTGCCACGCAACAAGGCTGGAAGAATCAAGCCATGGAGAGAGTGTGTGAGCAAGAATCAGTGAGAGGAAGAAAACTCAGGGGCAGATCTGGGGCAGTCAGGGCCAGGGAACTAAGTTAGGAACAGGTGGGCCAGAGCCAGGAAGGACCAAGCCAGTGGCTGTGCTGGCAAAGTAGCTGCCAGATGAGTTCTTCAGACCAAATCAAGGAAGTGGACTCAGTCTCCAGACAGAAAGAGTTTGCACTTCTCCAAAAGCCCAAGGTTGCCTGGTAGAAACTTCTCCAATTACGGAAATGTTCTGTATCTGTGCTGTTCAATATGGTAGCCACTAGCCACATGTGGCTATTTTCAGTCATCTCAAAATGTGGCAAATGTGACAAATGTGACTAAGGAACTGAATTCTTAATTTTAATTAATTTTAAGATCTCTAGAAAATCCTTAGTAGGGCCAGGTATGGTGGCTTACACCTGTAATCCTAGCATTTTGGGAGGTCAAGGTGGGAGGGTCAGTTGACCCCAGGAGTTCAAGACCAGCACAGGCAATAAAATGAGACCTCAACTCTACCAAAAAAAAAAAAAAAAAAAATTAGCTGGGCATGGTGGCATGGGCCTATAGTCCCAGCTACTCATAAGGCTGAGGTAGAGATTCATTTCAGCCTGGGAGGTTAAGACCACAATGAGCCATGATTGCACCACTGCACTCCAGCCTGGGCAACAGAGCAAGACCCTGTCTCAAAAATAACAACAGCCCGGACACAGTGGCTCACATCTGTAATCCCAGCACTTTGGGAGGCTGAGATAGGCAGATCACAAAGTCAGGAGTTTGAGACCAGCCTGACCAACATGGTGAAACCCTGTCTCTACTAAAAATACAAAAAAAATTAGCCAGGTATAGTGGTGCCAACCTATAATCCCAGCTATTCAAGGCTGAGGCAGGAGAATCACTTGAACCCAGGAGATGGAGGTTGCAGTGAGCTGAGATCACGCCATTGCACTCCATCCTGAGCGGCAGAGCAAGACTCTGTCTCAAAAATAAATAAGTAAATAAATAAAAATAACAACAACAAACAAGCAAAAACAGAAAACCATTCCTGCTGGGAGCCGTGGCTCATGTCCTTCATCCCAGTCATTTGGGATGCTGAGGTGGGAAGATCACTTGAGGCCAGGAGATTGCCTGAGGCCTGGGCAACACAGTGAGACCTCTTCTCTCAAAAAATCAAACTAAAAAATTAGCCACGCATGGTAGCTCATGCCTGTAGTCTCAACTTCTCAGGAGGCTGAGGTGGGAGGATAGCTTCAGCCTAGGAGGCCAAAGCTGCAGTGAACTATGACCACACCACTACACTCCAGCCTGGGCAACAGAATGAGACCTTGTCTCTAAAAACAAAACAAAACAAACACAACAAAAAGTACTCCTGAATTTAAGTATTGATGGCTATGGGAACTGCTTCCTAACCCTTTTGAAAATGTGTATCTGTTACATATTTTGAGAAATGCAGCACTCTGAAGTTTTGTTCAAGGGAATGAGTAGCTTAGGCCCCAGCAGGCAAACTTCTTCACAGTGCTAGGATGAAGAGCTCACACTCAGGGACTTGGAGAGTGAATCAACTACTTTAGTTAATTCAATGTTAAATGAAAATAATATCAATCTTGGATGGTTGTGGTGAGAATCAAATGAAATGACGTATGAGAAAACCTTTGTCATGTTACAAAATTGATGGCAAATACAGCTTTAGGTAGAATTTCAACTCCTAATTTTTACTACTATGCAAATTATCAGAATATTTATGGCATTAATGTTTTAAAAAGGTTTTTAAATAGAAACTTTATTTAAATAAATTAACCCTTCTTAACCCCAAAACACAGCTTCTGATCTTGACTAAATTCATAATTATGCAGAGAAACACACTGCTGGTTCCTTACAGGCCACTGTGCTGTATGATTGCTGAAAACAGTTCATGAAAGGGAAACTGGCCCTACTTCTGAGCATACCCGTACTAGAACATATTAAGCATATTCACTTAGTATATTAATTTAAATGTTAATGTTAGCCTAAATATTAAATTAATGTTTATTTAATTTTTACTTAATAACCTTACTAGAGCACATCAAGTATTTTTTTCTGCTTAAAAAAACCCTGAATTTACAGAAGTAAAATTATGAAAGCAGATTTGCATTACAAAATCTTCCTCTACAGGTTCTTCTAGCTCAAGACATTTTTCTTACTGATTTTTAACTACTTGAGTTGGGGTAAGAATTAGAGAAAGGCAGGAGAGGTAGCAACTGTGAAATCAGTGTACTAGGAGTTACTACCCAACACTTATCCACCTGGAATGGATACATCAAAAAGCCAAGAAAATAAGAATGTCTTTATAAAATAATAATAATATTTATGGGCTGGGCGCCGTGGCTCATGCCTGTAATGCCAGCACTTTGGGAGGACTAGGCAGGTGGATCACTTGAGGTCAGGAGTTCGAGACCAGCCTGGCCAGCATGGTGAAACCCTGTCTCTACTAACAGTACAAAAATTAGCCAGGCATGGTGGCACACACCTGTAATCCCAGCTACTCAGGAGGCTGAGGCAGGAGAATTGCTTGAACTTGGGAGGGCAGAGGTGGCAGTGAGCCAAGACTGCACCACTGCACTTCTCTACTGCATTCCAGCAATAGAGCGAGACTCTTTCAAAAAAAAGAAATTCTAAAAAATATTTACATTAAATTTTCAAAAACAACTACTTTTCAAAGCAAACTGCTCTGGATTGGGGTTCAAAACACAATATGATTGTGAAGAATGGGAGGAAAATCTAAATACAAATCAGAGAAAATAGTTTTCAGAGGATTAGACAGCTATAAGACAAGCTCCAAACATATGAAGAATAGTTTGAAAGGCTATTTATTACAAGAAAAATGACAAATTCTATCATTCCTCTGACCTGAAACAAGGTGAAAACTTGTTAGAAAGGCTGCATGAAGAGAAGAAAGAAAAAGTAGTCCAATCAGGTCTATCTGCAGACCTTGCTCTCATTCTGAATACAAATCTAGCGAGTATCAGTTCTTCAGAGCTGACCACTTACTTGCCACACTTGGAACAGCTGAACTCCCATTACCAGCTGAAGCAGGGCATGTGATCTAAGACAAGTGTCGACATCAAGGAGAGAGGAAGCAAGCTCCGCAAGGGCCTACAAATCCCAAAGGCACTGATTAGCATCAAGAAAGAGGCTTTTTGTTGTTGCCATTTGTTTTTGTTGTTTTCCAGAAGTAATACAAGGCTGTGTTCCTTTAGCAGGATTCCCAGTTGGATCCTCTCCAGAGAGGATTCATATTTGAATTCCCACCTGAATACCAACCCAAATGTTGAGACAGAATACTCCTGTACTAAAATTAATATCCACTCATCCCACATAAACCTACTCTGTGTCCAAGACAATTGAGATCTTCTAGGTGAAGATGCTATAAAATAATTCAAAATAGCACATGGAAAACCATGTCTTACTTAAAACAGGTACTTATTTTCCGACCACAATTATTCCAGTCTCTTCCACAGAACTGCTTCTGTAAATAGCTTTTTTTAATATATCAAAGAGAGTCTCTTTCCAACATTTAATAGAGGCAAATCTATTCCAACTTCAGAGTTCTTATATGTCTTATTCAGCAGACACTATGATTCTATCTTCTTATTCTCTGGAAATCCATCAGATGTATTTTCCAACACAGGAGTGCCTTCCTTCCCTCTCATGGTGGCAAAAAGCATATCCATCATCCCCAAGGTTTCTAACAATTCTCTTTGGTAATCAATTTCTTTTTCTACAAGTCCTTGAAGCAGCAAAAACTTTTTATCAACTACAGGGGACTGACCAATCACAGGTAGATATATATCTAAAAAGAAAGAAAACACATTAACTAGCAATATCTTTCTATATATTGAGTGAAAAGCAAAATTCTTAAAAGCATAAAAATACCATAAAACCACTAAAAAAACCTGTACTTATGTTATAATTAATGATTTATAGAAAGTATAACAATCCCTCTGAGTAAATTTATTTCAAAAAACAATAATTACAGAAAATATAGGGTGGAAGTTCTGACTTATTTTCATTTTCCCATTTGAAAAATTGTCATGGTCATTACAGATGTCTATGAAAACACAATTTTTTTGGTAATAACCCTAGTCCCATCAATTCAAAGTCATGCCACTATAAACATTTTACATTTTATACTGCATTGACTTGTTGTTTTCTCCATGAAAATCCATTCTGAGAATTAATAAAAGCAAGATATTTTGATCTACTTGATTTCCAAATCTGACTCTTTGACATCTCTACTTTTGCAGGCATGTTAGGATTTTCAAGTTTTGACAACTACTTACCAATAATTATTTCAGCAGCATTGATTAAAACAGGGGCAAATCTTGGCTGAGAAAGATTCCTACAAAGTAAAAATTCAATTTAGTAAAACTTGTAAACCTAAAAAAAAAAAATTCTTAAAACAGATTTGTTTCTTCAGTTCTCTACAAGACATCAAACTAAATATGTCTTTCATTTGGTGATAAAGGATTTCAGATGCAAAATAAAAGTGTTTCACAGACAAAAAACATACCTTATCAAAAAATTAAGAACACGACTGATTTCCTTTTCATCTCGACCTGCAAGGGCATTTGCAAGGACTCCTCTTCGATTTAACTCCTTTATGATGGACACTGTAATCTCAGGTGTCTTTATTGCACAAGTAGGCTAGAAAAATTTTCACAGTCAACATGAGCAGACAAAACAGCACAAAAAAATAGCATTGTCTTGCACTAAATTATCAAGTTTGAATAGATGTTTATCTTCACAGTTCCAAGTCATGGTAATATGCAGGGTAAGTAATAACATAATTTTTTTTTAAATGCTCACTCGGCCGGGCATGGTGGCTCACACCTCTAACCTCAGTACTTTGGGAGGCCAAGGCAGGTGGATCACAAGGTCAGGAAATCGAGACCATCCTGGCCAACATGGTCTTTGGAAGAAACTTTGTCTCTACTAAAAACACAAAAATTAGCTGGGTGTGGTGGCGCATGCCTGTAATCCCAGCTACTCAGAAGGCTGAGGCACAGAATCACTCGAACCCAGTAGGCAGTGGTCACAGTGAGCCGAGATCACGCCACTGCATTCTAGTCTGGAGACAGAGCAAGACTCTGTCCAAAACAAAACAAAAACAAAAACAAAAAATGCTCACTCACCTCAAGAACTCTGTCAAGTGCCTTAGAGATTCGAAAATGTTTCAGATCCCTGTCATACAATTCTAGGTGTTTCTTTGTTGGCCTATTAATCAAAATGTCATCCTGCAATGAAAAGTAAATTTACAGAGAATAAAAATCAGTATCTATATAAAGATATATTTAATATAAAGATATATTTAATATAATGAAGTGGCATCTCTGAACTGTCACATATGCCCATAATGTAGATTAAATAAAAATGATTCCTACTAATCAAAGTCAAGAAAGAAATAAAAAGTGGAGTAATTTGCTACATCAACATGTTCTTAGTCTCTTACAATTTTAACTTACAGTATGTACTGTTGCCTTAATTCTAGGTAAAAATTACTCATTTCAGTTCTCTTTATGTGGCAGGCAGTGAGATTCAGTAGAAAGAGAAATAAAACAAGAATCAGAGATAATGAGATCTAGTCTCAACAACTCTGGATACCAGCAATGAAATCCTAATTAATCAGAAATTCTTTGCATCTCAATCTTCTCAGGTGACAAATGGGGACATGACTGGCTCTACTGCTTCTTGGGGTTTAGATCAAATCAGATAGTATGTGAAAGACGTTATTTTGAATCCAGTAAAGCATTATAACATTATGCTATGATGCAGAGTATTACATAAAGTAGTCCTTATTTCCCATTACTCTTCAATAATGTCCCCAATCCAGCAATCCAGAAATAATTCTGATGTATAGAAAAGCAAAATAAAGTTAAATGCCACAGGAACTATGCTTTCCAGTAATGTGCAGGGATGCTACTCTAACAAATTTCACGTTTTAAACAAATATGAGAAATGCACAAATACCCGTTGCTTCATGTAATTTTTTCCTTTAATAAACGTTCGATATGCAGGCCGCCGCCTTCTGGGAAGCGATTCCTTCTTTGCTTCGGATTTCCGATGTTTAACACTCAGTATGCCATTGGTCATTCCTACAACTATTGTCTCATCTTCATGCTAATAGCAATTAGAAAAATAAGTTAGTCCATTCTTAACTCATAATTTATAGTACTTTTACTTCAAAATACATTTATATTGTGTTTGCTGCTTGTCCATATAGTCACCAAGTTCCATTCAGATATACATAGTCTGCCTAACAATGATCGGTGCAAGACGTTAAAGCAAAATCATTTTTTCCTTAGGCTACAACTAGATTGACAGAACTTATACGTGTAAAATACCACTGGCAAAGTTTGTGTAATAATACATAGTTGGTAGGGAACAGTGGCCCATGTCTGTAATCCCAGCACTTTGGGAGGCTGAGGTGAACGGATCATGAGGTCAGGAGTTTGAGACCAGCCTGACCAACATGGTGAAACTCCATTTTTACTGAAAATACAAAAATTAACTGGGCATGGTGGCACACGTCTGTAATTCTGGCCACTGAGGAGGCTGACGCGGGACAATCACTTGAACCCAGGAGGCGGAGGTTGCAGTGAGCCAAGATCATGCCACTGCACTCCAGCCTGGGCGACAGAGCAAGACCCCATCTCAAAAAGTAATAAGAAGAATTATACATAGTTAACAGCATCAAGGATTACACAGTAGCATGACTTTTACAATCTTGCCCCCCAAAAATATTTTTTAATAAGCTTTTCCGTTCCCAAATCAGATTTCTATATAATACAGTTAAATACCTTCCTGCCCAAATGTGGCTTCTCATAAAACTTGACAGCATATATTTCAGAAACAGCAGTAATAAAGAAAAGGAGATATTTCATTTTGTTGTCCCCTTTACCCCCTATCTTCTTTTCCGCTCAGAGAGCTAATCTGCCTTTCTAGTGTACTGTAACACTCTTGAGTTAAATTAGTTGAAGAGAGATTTATTAGCTTCCCAGGTCCTGCATTTGGTGTTAACAATGCCTAGAGCACTGTCCTTGGTTTGAGGTTACCCGGTGAGTGAGACCTATATCGAAATTCATGCTCGGTCATTAGGACAAGTCATATATTCCAGCAATTGTCTTAACTCAAATATCTAACACGGCAAGAAGAGTTACTCAAATCCAAAAATAAAGCCCCAAATTCCATTTTAGTTTCATTTAACAGGCAAGGTCAGTGACAAACTTAAAAATAGGTAAAGGTACTTACCGCAAGGGCAAGACTCAAAATTGAAGCTGCATAATCAAAACTGTGGACTACTTTGTAGGAAGTTGTGCTGTATACTTTTACCTTCCTAATAAAAAAGAAAAGCTTCGTCAAAAGTCACCTTGAAAATGAATATAAAATGCAAATTTCTGTTTTTTGAAAATTCAAAATATGAACATTAAAATCTATACAACAGTGAAGAAAAACAAAAATCAGTAATGTTAATTACAAACTAATTTATCACTGAGTCCCTTAAAAAATGGGCTGTATACCAGCCCTAACTATAACATCTGTATAAAGACTTTCATTAGCCACTTAGAAATAGAAGTGCCGGGTGTAGCGGCTCAGGCCTGGAATCCCAGCAGTTTGGGAGGCCAAGGTGGGCAGATCACTTGAGGCCAGGAGTTTGAGACCAACCTGGCTAACATGACATAACCCCCATCTCTACCAAAAACAACAAAAACCAGCCAGGTATGGTGGCACATGCCTATAATCCCAGCTACTCAGGAGGCTGAGGCATGAGAATTGCTTGAACCTGGTTGCAGTGAGCTGAAATCTTGCCACTGCCCTCCAGCCTGGGCAACAGAGCAATACTGTCTCAAAAATTTTTTTAAAAAGGAAAAAAAAAAAAAAAAGAAGGACAGACCATCAGCCATTGTCATCTGAAGATCAAACTTAGAAGTAAAGAAAAAGTATCAGCTGGGTGTGGTGGCTCGCACCTATAATCCCAGCACTTTGGGAGGCCAAGGCGGGCAGATCACCTGAGGTCAGGAGTTTAAGACTAGCCTGACAAAAATGGAGAAACCCTATCTCTACTAAAAATACAAAATTAGCCAGATGTGGTGGCACATGCCTGTAATCCCAGCTACGCAGGAAAATCGCTTGAACCCAGGAGGCGGAGGTTGCAGTGAGCCGAGAACACGCCATTGCACTCCAGCCTGGGCAACAAGGGTAGAACACTGTCACACAAAAAAAAGAAAAAAGAAAAAGGAGAAAGTATCAATGAAAGTATATCACAAAGCCAAGTTTAATGGCTCACACCTATAATCTCAGCACTCTGGCAGGCCACAGTCGGCAGATCACTTGAGCCCAAGAATTCAAGACCAGTCTGGGCAACATGATGAAATCCCATCTCTACAAAAAATAAAAAATAATTTTTTTTTAAAAAAAGAAAGGGCCAGGCCCGGTGACTCATACCTGTAATCCCAGCACTTTGGGAGGCCGAGGCAGGTGGATCACGAGGTCAGGATTTCAAGACCAGCCTGGCCAAGATGGTGAAACCCCACCTCTACTAAAAACACAAAAAAATCAGCTGGGATGGTGGCAGGCACCTGCACCAGCAACTCAGGAGGCTGAGACAGAGAATTGCTTGAAGCCGGGAGATGGAGGTTGCAGTGAGCCAAGATCGCACTACTGCACTCCAGCCTGGGCAACAGAGCGAGACTTCCTCTCAAAAAAAAAAAAAAAGAAAGTACACGTGAAGCCAAATATTAGGGTTTCTCAACCTCAGAAATGACTATCATTTTGGGGCACACAATTCTTTTTTGTAGGCGCTGTTCTGTGCATTGCAGGATGTTTCGCAGCCTTCCTGGCCTCTATCCCCTATATGGCAAGCACCATCCATGACCTTAAGTTGTGATAAAAAACAAAAATTTCTCAAGATATTGTCAAACATTCCTTGAGGGACAAAAATCACTCTTGGTTGAAACCACCACAAATCAAGCCAATTTACACTTAGCTTTTAGGAACATACTTAAGAATCAAGTCCCAAATTTCCTAGTAAGATGATTTCAGAGAACCTGCCATGTGATATTTATTTACACAAAAAATTCCTTTGTATTAAAAATATTTTCTAGCTTTTAAAATATGTACAGTTGGCCAGGCGCGGTGGCTCAAGCCTGTAATCTCAGCACTTTGGGAGGCCAAGCTGGGTGGATCACGAGGTCAAGGGATTGAGACCATCCTGGTCAACATGGTGAAACCCCGTCTCTACTAAAATTACAAAAAATTAGCTGGACATGGTGGCGCGTGCCTGTAATCCCAGCTACTCAGGAGGCTGAGGCAGGAGAATTGCCTAAACCCAGGAGGCGGAGGTTGTGGTGAGCCAAGATCGCGCCATTGCACTCCAGCCTGGGTAACAAGAGCGAAACTCCATCTCAAAAAAAAATTTAAAAAAATAAAAATAAAAATATGTACAGTCAATCCTCCTTATGGCAGACTCCACATCTGCAGATTCAATCAACCATGGATTGAAAATATCCATAAATAAATAAATTAAAATAATACAGAATTTTAGCCGGGCGCGGTGGCTCAAGCCTGTAATCCCAGCACTTTGGGAGGCTGAGGCGGGTGGATCACGAGGTCGAGAGATCAAGACCATCCTGGTCAACATGGTGAAACCCCGTCTCTACTAAAAATACAAAAAACTAGCTGGGCGTGGTGGCACGTGCCTGTAATCCCAGCTACTTAGGAGGCTGAGGCAGGAGAATTGCCTGAGCCCAGGAGGCGGAGGTTGCGGTGAGCCGAGATCGCGCCATTGCACTCCAGCCTGGGTAACAAGAGCGAAACTCCATATCAAAAAAAAAAAAAATACAGAATTTTAAAATACAGTGTAACAACTATTTACATAGCATTTGCATTGTATTAGGTATTACAAATAAGCTAGAAACGATTTAAAGTATACAGTGGATATGTGTAGGTTATATGCAAATATTATGCCATTTTAAATAAGGTACTTGGGCATTCACAACCAATCCCCTAAGTCACCACAGGATGACTGTATACTTTTTAACAAATATGCTAAAAACCAAAATTTTTCATAATAGCAGAAAAAAAAGAAAATATAGGAAAAAAAATCAAAAATAGATCATGGAAGCCAGGAACAGTGGCTCACACCTATAATCCCAGCACCTTGGAAGGCGGAGGCAGGTGGATCTTTTAAGCTCAGGAGTTTGAGACCAGCCTGGGCAACATGACGAAACCCCATACCTACAAAAACACAAAAATGAGCCAGGTGTGGTGGCACGTGCCTGTGGTCAGATACTCAGGAGGCTGAGGTGAGAGGATCGCTTGAAGCCAGGAGGCAGGGACTGCAGTCAGCCAAGATCATGCCACTGTCCTCCAGCCTGGACAACAGGGCGAAAATCCTGTCTCAAAATAATAATAATAATAGATCATGTAAATTCTAGAATTGTGCCTTTTTCTAGCCGCATGTGGCTACTGACCGCTTGAAATGTAGCTAGTGAAAATGAGACACTAAATTGTTTATTTATTTTAATTTTAATTTAAAAACTGAGACAGAAATTTTTATAAAATATTACCCTTTTTAAAATTTTATTGCATTTTAGGTTTTGGGGTACATGTGAAAAACATGCAAGATTGTTGCATAGGTACACACGTGGCAGTGTGATTTGCTGCCTTCCTCCCCATCACCTATATCTGGCATTTCTCCCCATGCTATCTCTCCCCAACTCCTGACACCCCCCACTGTCCCTCCCCTATTTCTCCCCAACAGACCCCAGTGTATAGTGCTCCCCTCCCTGTGTCCATGTGTTCTCATTGTTCAACACCTGCCTATGAGTGAGAACATGCGGTGTTTGACTTTCTGCTCTTGTGTCAGTTTGCTGAGAATGATGGTTTCCAGGTTCATCCATGTCCCTACAAAGGACACGAACTCATCATTTTTGATGGCTGCATAATACTCCATAGTGTATATGTGCCACATTTCTTTCTTTTTTTTTTTTTTTCTTAAGAGACAGGGTATCACTCTGTCACCCAGGCTAGAGTACAGTGGTACTATCACAGCTCACTGCAACCTCAAACTCCTGTGCTCAAATGCCTCTCCTGCCTCAGCCTCCCTAGTAGCTATGATTAAAGGTGTGTACCACTGTGCCTAGCTAATTTTTTAAATTTTCTGTAGAGATGGGGTCTCACTATATTATCCAGGCTGGTCTCAAACTTCTGGCCTCAAGAGATCCTCCCACCTGAGCCTCCCAAAGCACTGGGATTACAGCTGTAAGCCACTGCACCCAACCTAAAATATGATTATTGTATCATAGTGCACATGCTTAGATGTTTATTTCTAGTATCTTAATAATTTTTACATACATTACATGTTGAAATTATATTTTATATATATTTTATTTTTACACTAGATACTAGGCTAAATTAAATGTGCTATCTAAATTTTGGGCTGGGCATAGTGGCTTACACCTGTAATCCCAGTACTTTGGGAGGCCAAGGTGGGTGGATTACTTGAGGTCAGGAGTTCGAGACCAGCGTGACCAACATGGCAAAATCCCATCTCTATTAAAAATACAAAAATCAGCCAGGCATGGTGGTACATGCCTGTAATCCCAGCCACTAGGGAAGCTGAGGCAGGAAAATCCCTTGAACCCAGGAGGCAAAGGTTGCAATGAGCTAAAAACTCACCACTGCATTCCAGCCTGGGCAGCAGATGAAGACTCTGTTTCAAAAAAAAAAAAAAAAATTAATGTATCTAATTAAAAAAAATTTTTTTAGGCCAGGCACAGTGGCTCACACCTCTAATCCCAGCACTTTGGGAGGGTGAGGTGAGCAGATCACACAAGGCCAAAAATTTGAGACCAGTCTCGGCAATATGGCAAAACCCCGTCTCTACTAAAAATACAAAAATTAGCCAGGTGTGCTGCACATCTGTAATACCAGCTACTCGGGAAGCTGAGTCACAAGAATCACTTGAACCTGGGAGGTGAAGGTTGCAGTAAGCCCAGATTGTGCCACTGCACACCAGCCTTGGTGACAGAACAAGACTCTGTCTCAAAAAAAAAAAAGAAAAAGAAAAGAAAACCTCAAAATATATGAATGTACAATAACAGTTTCTAGAATAACATTATTTGAAAGCTTATCATTCAAATGGTTCAATAATGTTGTTTAGGTACATAAGTTAAAACAAATTATATCAAAGGAGAAAATAAGTAGCTATATGTAAATTAGAGGTCAAAACTATTTTCAACTCAACAGGTTTTCTTCTCCTGGAAATCATTATCACAATATTTATCACAAATATTGCTAAAATAACTCATTTCCTCAAGCAGTAAACACCTGTACACTAATATACAAAAAAATTAAAATGCCAACCTATCCAGTGAGCCAGAGAGCAACCTCTGTCCAGAGCTGCTTAGACATAAACATGTCACAGTTTTGTGATGATTTTTCAGAGATACCAGCAATTGTCCTCCTTTTAACATGTCCCAGACCTTAACGTAACGACCTCCTACAAATAGAAATAATCATTAGTTGGATATTCTGCTCACAGATTCAAAATTTTAAAGATCTGAAAAGCATTCTTCACTGACACTCCACAAAGCATGGAAGCTGAGTGAGGGAGTCCAGAGTCCAGGCGCCACCACTTCCTGGGTAATTGGTAATAATAGTTCCTACCCCACAGAACTGTTATGACAGTTAAATAATTTAATATTTGTGAAGCATACAGAAATTCCAGCAAAATAAATGCATAACTGAAAGAGTTCATTTTAAGAAAATTATGATAAATTCATTTTTTTAAAAGAAATTCTATATAGCAGTGGAAGTGAATAATGTAGATTTGCAGCAAAACATCAAGCAGAAGTCTAATACAGAAAACAGAAAAAGGGGTGGGAGAGGAGACTGAAATCTTGACTGGGGAACAGGATCTGGAACCCAACTCACAGTCCCCACCCCTCCACTAGTATGTGGCACCTCACAAGAAGGATCACAGCTGAAACCACTGCTCTAGTCCAACCCTCTCATTTTCAAGGTCTAGAAACCTTAAGAAATTGCCTGAGGTCCCAATTAGCTAGTGACACAGTGGAGATTAGCATAAAGCTTTCTATTCTCCTTGTTTAACTTGATATTTTTTCCATCTGTCAGAATAACAGCAAGAAAAGTAGACATATCTGACATTTATCAACTTTTTTTTTTAATTAGAGATGGAGTCTCACTATGTTGCCCAGGCTGATCTCAAATTCCTGGGCTCAAGCTTTCCGTCTGTCTCAGCCTCCTAAAGTGCTAAGATTACAGGTGTGAGCCACCACACCCAGCATCAACTTATGTTTAAATCAGATAGGTACTGGGGAAAAGAATATAAAACAGAGTAATTTCTAGCCAGATTTTAGAATTAAGAGAAAAAAAAGGATGCACACACAGCAATATATGTTGTCAGCTGCACATTCTACCCACACATTCTTCTAAAGTCAACATATTTTTACTTTACAAATGAAAAAAGCCAATTTACTTCTTCCATTGTAATTATGAAAATGTAGTATGTGCAAAAACACCTCAGTCCCAGTTTGTGAAAAAATGTACTAAGGCCCCTTTTGAGGCCACATTATCTCCTTTCTCTAGTACTAGCTGCTGTTTGCTGGGTAAGGACATTTCAATCTAGAGAGTCACAGAAAAAGAGGCAAGCCTTCTAGCTCTCAAATAACTGATTTTCAAAAGCTGCTGCAGATCTCTCAGGTAGGAGTAAAAGAAGTATAAGCTAGATTTCTGGGGTTAAATAAGATGGCATAGGGCTGAATACATAATGTAGGCTCTCAAGTTCTGTGATTTCAGATCTGCCACTCACCACTTTGCCGTTGAAAAATTAGTTAAAACTTTTATTTTGTTAGTCGTAAAACAGGGGGAAAGCTAACTACCTTGTAGCATCATCTAGTGCACTAGAGTTAATATACATATAACAGCACAGTGCCTGGCTCACATTAGGTACACAATAAATGATAACTGCTTGCCTGTCCTATCGATTAACTGCTTGAGCAAAAACTGAGATATGCAAATCAAATGCACACTGATAAATTATAAAAAGCAAATGATTTTAAACAAATATGATTCCAAACCAACAATACTGGTGAAAGCTATTTTTAAGAAGTACCTGCTGACACCAGAAGACCTCCAGAGGGGAAAAGCAGGACACTCTCCACAGGCTGCCCATGCTCAACAGAGAGAACACTCTTATTCGTTCGTGCATCAAACATCTTCACAGTATGATCATATGATCCTAAAATGTCAATTTTTATATTGTTAGTTTCACTGTTCAAAACAACAAAAACCACATGTATCCAGATATAAATTTTAAAAGGAAAAAAAAATCTTAGATGAAGCTTTAAAAAGATATATATGTATATTCATGAAGACACAGGACCTCCAAACCCTCTACCACTGATTGTATCTGAAGAAGCACTACACAATACTATACAATCTAACTTGCTCTGATCCTAAAATATTCTTTTCTTTGGACTACTGTCACTACTGAATCATCTGGAAATTTCTATAAAGGCACCCTCAGAGGCTGAACTGCACTGTCTGTGTCTTGACTGCTTGAAGCAGTGTACTCCCCATTACAGTTCTGAGAGTCTGTATGTTTTCAAGACACCCTGATTTTTCCAAACACATTTGGAAGACATGAACCATCACCAAAAGAAGAATAAGAAAATAAAAAGCAATTGGAAGCCAATCATGGTGGCTCACACTTGTAATCCCAGCACTTTGGAAGGAAACTGAGGCAGACAGATCGCTTGAGCCCAGCAGTTTGAAACCAGCCTGGGCAACGTGGCAAAACCTTGTCTCTACAAAAAATACAAAAAGTAGATGGATATAGTGGGCACCTATAGTCCCAGCTACTTGGGAAGCTCGGGTGAGATGATAACTTGAGCCCAGGAGGTAGCAGATGCACTGAGCAGTGATCACATCACTGCACTCCAGCCAGGGCAACAGAGTGAGAAGCTGTCTCAAAATAAATACAAACATACTACGTAAAAATTTATTTAAAAACTGGAGAATTCACCAGAAACATATTCCTTTATAAAAGAAATTTTAAACCCCTCCATCCCAAAAGAGCCCCATAGCCATATTAAAATACATCCCCATGAGATTATTTGCTTCACGAGGGAACAGAGTTCACCAACCTGTTATAAAGAGATCCGGATTAAGTTTACTAGCACATCCACACCTCACATAATCAGAATGTTCTTTAAATGTCAAAATTTCTTTGGAGTTTGGAATATCCCATAATTTAACTGTATAATCATCAGCCCCAGAGACCACGTGATATTTGTCAGCTGTAAAATCTACTGTATGAACTGCTCTGAAAGATCAAAGATCAGTATATGAAAAAACAAGAAATTATTTTTCTGGTACCTTCTAACATAAAATTCTCCTATTTCTGAGATTAAGAAAAAAGCAGGTCAGTTTCAGGAAGTCTTCACAGAGGGAAATCATGAGAGAAAGAGAAAACGTTAAAGTGTTTGTCCCCAGGTCAATTAAGAAATATAAATACTCCTACATTATGAAGTTAAAAAGAATATTAAAGCCTTAAAATTATATATTCTAATATATTAACAATTCCACTTAGCTGCTAAATATGAGAGCAAAGGCCCTTTAACTTTTAACATTTCAAAATATTCTTTAAAAAACTCAAAAAAGATTTGCCACTAAATAGAATGTTACCTAAATTTCTGTTGTATTTTAACAAATTTCAGCAATGACACTGGTAATCCTGAAAACAAAGTTATAATATAAAATTGTGATGGCCACTTAATTTATCAAGGGGCAAAACAGTACAAATCCAAGAAGAAAAGAAAATCTACCTTCCAACTTGACTTCAACATAAGATGCTCTAAGACAGTACAGGCCTATGGAGCTCTCATTACTAGCTGTAAGGTTGTCTTTAGATGAGTAATTCATAACCTCAACTGTGCCACAGACCTTGCTAAAGTTAACCAAAAGCTACAGAACAGCTCCCTAGATAAACATATATTTCCTAAAATATCACATAAAATTCTAGGGAATTCATGAGCCCTATGGAACTGGACCACAGAACCCAAGTTAAGCGCTCTTAGAACAATCAGGAAATATAGTACATATAGGCAAATAATCTTCATAAAACTGTTATGTTTTTCGTCAAAGAGAGAAAAAAACAGAGCTTACAACAAAATAAAACAAAACCAGAACACATAAAAACTGTCTCTTACTTTGTATGGCCTTCAAACTGTCTGAGGGGAGCCCTTCCACTTATATCAAAAAGTTGCACTCCACCATCTTCACTGCCAGCCACAAGCAATCTACCGTCTTGTCGAAAAGTAGCACAGTACGCTGTATCTTTAAATCGAGAAAAGGTTTTTATAGGTTCTTGGGAATATCGGCCATAAATGTGAATCTACAAGATGAAAAACAGTATTTCTCCAGATGCTGACCATCAGTAGTAAACTATACAAAAGAAAAATAAAGAAATATTATACTTACTCTTGAGGAAGCTGTGACAGCATAATTATATGGAGGCTGAGGAGAAAAGTCTACTTTTGAAACTGCACCAAATTCCTTAATCTGAACAGGGGTCTTAATAAAAAATAGTAGAGTGTTAACAGAGTTACCACTGGTAAGACCTATTTAAGCATTACATAATTTCTTACAGACCATTTCTTTTTGTTCTTAGTAACATTTATTAGGTTGTATTTAACATAAAATTACAAAGAAAGCAAAAAAGGTCCATATCATCACACAGACTATCCTTGTAGCCACTGAAATAAACATATGGTTAGAAAGCCACACCCTACTCTGTCTCTTCAGCTATTGAGTTTACTGTGATTTCTACCAGAAAAAAAGAAGTAACTATGTCTATACCAGCATACAATAACCACATACTTTTAAAATAACACAAAGATAATCCTACTATGCAGACTGTTCCACGTCTTGCTTCTTTTCACTTAGTAACACATATTAGCAAACTTTTCATAGGAGCAACAGACTTACCATCCATGATAAGGCCACATTATATAGTAAATTATGTCCACTACTAATAAACATAGGTTTTTCCAGATTTCTACTATTAAAAGCAATACTTCAATAAACATCTTTACACATATGAGATTCAAATTTTAAAATTTAATTCATTTGGCATTGACTGATCGTCTATTCTGTGCTAGACATTTGTATGGTTAATCTGATTAAGCAGTACGGACTTTTATATAAAATTCCAAGAAAAAACAGATATCAAACTATCTGCCCAAACTAAAAGCTGCGAATAAATTGTTTTTAGTTAATAATTCTCTGTTAGAGCATCCAGAGTATAACATATGCTAGAGAAACTGGCATAAACACAAATCCCTCCTCCCTCATTATCTCCCATACTCACTTTATAGTTGTTCCAGTACAGTGTATCTTGGGTAATTTTTTCACCAAGTATAGGATATGTCTGAATAGCTACAGGCTTATACCCAGCCATAATTCCATATAATTGACTGCTGCCTTCCTTCGCTGAAGCAAGAAAATAGTAAAAAAAAAAAAAATTAAAGATCATGATTCAACCTGAGAAAGTCGATTAAAAAAAAAATTAAAGAAATATAAAAAAAAATTGCACTGTTGTCCAAGGGTCAATATTTTAGAATTGATATTAGAAATAATTACAACGACTGCCTTAAGTCTGAAAAAGAAAATATTTTATATACCTATTATTTATAAATTTGTACATAGAGTTGATTTTCACTCTGCTTTCTTTCAGAAGTCTGTGTGGAAGTTTATAGATTAGAGACCAATAAACCATTTAATTCTAACCCAGAAAAAGCAATCTATAGAAGGCAGGAATAATTACAGTAAGGGTTATCATATCGCACCATCTATTTAGCTGTACACAAAGGTTCTCATATCTAGCCAACCATTTTACAACACTTCGGAATAAATATAGTACAGTCTTCCAGTAGCAAACCAAAAAGGATTATGCTGGCTTTGAGTGTCCATTTTCTGGCAACAGGAAATACTAAGGTGAAACTGCAAATACAAGTTTCCTGAAACCAAGCTTAAGATGACATTTAATCTATAAGAATTACTGTTACGGACTTGATTTCCTGAAAGCCTAAAAATGCCAAGAAGTAAGAAAAACAAAGCTAATATTCTAATGCATACGCTTTAAATTAACTTTAAAAGGTTTTAACAGGTAGGAAAGAAAACTGTAATAAAGCAATCCTGAAATTAAATTCAACAATTAAAGTGGCATAATAAAACTTTTAAATAACATACAATCAAGCCAAAACATCTTTCCAGAACGATTCAATTGCAAAAGAGATTCAGTGTTATCAGGTAAATGATTCCAGTGCTGCTACTCATCACCTATTACAAAACTGTACATCAGTAACACCACGGTAAGTGTAACATATATTTAAAAGGTGCTTTAATGAAATACAATGACCCATGATTAAAGGGGGAACACTCTTCTGTTCATTAAAGTACCTGCCAGTGTGTAGGACACTATTCTAGGCACTGGAGATACAATGGTGAATGAAATAAAGACATGGTCTGTGCCCTCGCATACTCCAGTATACTCCATTTGGCTGGTGACTGGCACCAAATATTAATCTAGATTCAGCCTTGACGTGTCCGTCTTCCTCACTCCTAACATCCAAACAGTTAACAAGATAGGCTGATTTTATCTCCCAAATCTTTTAAAACTCCATTACATTCACTGCACCTGAGGGAACCTCGTAAGCAAAGACAGACTGAAATATGTCCATTGCCTTGGAGAGTTGCTGATTACTCCGGTAACTAACAACGGTGGACAGGAGAGGGTGTAATCGCAGAGGAGAATCTAAGTCGACGCTTAATTGAGGGGAACTTGAACCGGTTAAAGAATTTAGCCATTCTCCTACAGAGCCTGGGGAAGCCCCAGAAGAGCATGCCAGATAACACACGGAGGCCAAGAGTTGAGTCTGGGTTTCCCTCAATGGGAGCCGCCTTCGCCTACCTCCACTGAGCCCCAAAGGGCCCGACGAGACACCTGGACTCAAGGACAATTAATCGGACTCCGTCAGCTCCCTCTCCTGGACCGTTCAGCCGCACTGGCGTGAAAATCACATGGACCCTCGAGAAGCCGGCGACACACACACCGAACCGAACGTCGCGTGAAGATGACGTACAGCGCGTGCTCCTGAGATTCACGCAGCCCGGCGGCGCAAAGGCAATCAGGTGGGCAGGGCTATCAGGCGCAGAAGGCGTGGCCAGAGGGCGAGACCGAGGCTTCCTCTGCTCTGGTAACCCAGAACCATCAACTCAAATGACGCTGTCTGTGTGGTACTCCGGCAGCATGGGCCTCGGAGCCTAACGGCATCAAAAAAGAGAGACAGACAGACACACAGACAGACAGACAAAGGAAATAAAACGCGAAAGTCTCAGCTGCACCGCTGCAGAACGTTTTTTAGCCAGAAGGCCAAAAAAAAAAAAAAAAAAAAAAAAAAAATCGGAAGTGACGTCGCGGCCAAAACAAGCCCGGGCTTGGAGGCCTGTACTGAAGCTGGCGGCAGATGGGAAGACTCTACTCGTTTTCTGCGGTCGTCGGTGGTCGCAAGACCCTGCACTCACACCGGGTCGGCCTCCAGCCCCTGTCCCCGAGATCTGCTCGCCGCGGATGAGCGAGAGTTTCTTCCTGGGACTTTTCGGGCACAGTCGGCCATTGGCGACAGGACGGACTTCCTTTCCTCCCAGAGCCTCTCCTCCAGCGGGCTCCTGTCTCGGGACACTGGAACACCTGTCGCCTGTGAGGCATCATTTATTTTCATAGCGCCTTCCTCTCCTTGTAGGATAATTCCAGGATCAGGAAAAAACGAGGGGCTCCTGTTACTAGCATCCTCGGGAACTAGCATAATTGTCCACTTTATCCCCTTAAATTCTCTATCCCTTCATCCCTGGGCTCTGACAGATCGAGGGGAACCTAGCCATTGATTGCCTTACCCCCTTTTTCTCACCACCTCCTCTTCTAAGTCATGTTTACCCCACACCCCTCACCCCCCTTCCTGTTCTTCAAAATTTTGGCTTACCAATCAACTTTGCTTCTCCTGTCTAGACTGGTGTGCCAAGATAAGCGTTCTTCTTCCACCCACCCCTTCCCGCTAAGCACATTTGCTGTTCTTCTCTCCAAGACCTGTAATTCCATCTGTAATCCCTGATTTGTAACGTGGAAGTTGTTTAGCGCTGGAAATAATATTAGGCCTATTTCAACACCTTTTTATAATAGATGAATTTCAGAAAACTTGTATGTACATTTATTTGTCCAGGATTCTCCAGCAAGTTAATAGCAATGTTGAGAGTGAAAAGCCAGGTCTAATCAGCAAATGTTAGAAATAGAAAATATTATGGGAAAAATTGTTAAAGTTCAGATCAGAAAACATTTATGGAGCACCTGGTAGGACCAAGTACTGTTTTGTGTGCAAAGATTAGTAAGAATGGTCCCCATCCTACGGGAGTTTTCAATTTAGATGGTGTTTACATGGAAATTTTCAAGAGAGTAGTAAATGCTAAAATAGAGCTATATGCAGGGTGCTCAGAGAGTTTAGGGGAGTTGCACTTAGCCAACCTTGATAGGAGAAAGGGGGAGATGGTTCTTCCCTGAGGAAACACAGTTCATATCGTCCAGTTCTTTTAAGACGCATGGACGAATGCATTGCACATCCATCTCCATTTGAATCACTGAAGCGAATTTTCTTTTCTGGTTTCCTTCTTTTTGCTCAAATATTTTTCTTACTATGGTTTTTGGGGGTTTTTTGTTTGGTTGGTTGGTTGGTTGGTTGGTTTTGAGGCAAAGTCTTGCTCTGTCGCCAGGCACCAGGCTGGAGTGCAGTGGCGGGATCTTGGCTCGCTGCAACCTCTGCCTCCCGGGTTCAAGCAATTCTCCTGCCTCAGCCTCCCGAATAGCTGGGACTACAGGAGCGTGCCACCACGCCCAGCTAATTTTTGTATTTTTTAGTAGAGACGGGGTTTCACCATGTTGGCCAGGATGGTTTCGATCTCTTGACCTCGTGATCCGCACGCCTCGGCCTCCCAAAGTGCTGGGATTACAGGTTACTATGTGTTATTTATTCAGCTCTTTCTGGTGGAGGTTTTGGCTTTGTTTAGTGCTGCCTCATTTTAATGGTCAGAGTGATGGAGTCAGAAGAGCTGGGTGAGCCCTCGTAATTCATGAGCTTCCTGTTTCTCCTCTCTAAGGTGTACGTGGATTACCTGACCTGCCTACTCAAATGATTGTTAAGGATTAGTTTTTGAAAATGTTTTTAAAATTGTAAAAAGCTGTTATCTGTAAATGGATGGTTTGGCGACCCTTGCTCCACTGTGATCCTGATGCATTTTTCTTTTAATTCCAATTAATTCCCATCTTAAAACACCCTGTACCCTCTCAAAATTTCTAAGAGGCTATAAACTCTAACGTGAAAAAATTAACTGTATTTTATTAATTTTCTTCCTGTCCCAAATGGTAATGTATTTGAGACAATTACACATCTTGGAAAGCCAATCTACCTACTTTATTTTTCATGAAAACCTACATTAAGTTGCTAATGCTTAATCTGAACAAAAATTGATAAATGTACCTTCAGTTCATCAAGCCCAAAGCTTTGTAAAGCTTTTCACAGTCTACGAATCACAGGTATTATAGATAACAGTGCCAATAAACTTGGGTACAACATGAATTATATCACTTCTTAAATTCAAACTAAGGGCTACCTATGTAAACATGTTAAAGAACTAACCCTAGGTAAGAGGTTAAAGTCTGTTTTCATTGTTAGCCTGATCTTTTATCCATTCGGCAATATTCAGGTATAGGAAATGGGAGAAACAGTAACTAAAATTTATTGGAATTTAATGATGAAAGTGAGAATGTCACTGTACAGTATTTCATTTGTTTTTTACCAGAACGCTGTAAGGTTAATGGTGGTATCCCTATTTTATAAATGACACCGAAGCTCAGAGGGGTTGAGTAACTTGTACAGGTCACACAGCTAATTAATGGCAAAGCTTACGTTCATACCCAGGTTTCTCTACCTCTGAACATTATATGCTTTCTATTATGTATAAGTGCTTACAAGAGCATTGTTTCGATACTTGATTGAAAATGATTATTTTGTGGGTTTTTACCTAAGTTGATAGGAATACTTTTATTTTTCTAATTTTTTTCTTTCAGATTTTTAAATATTCAAATTTTAGTTTGAATATCCAACACTGGATACTGCTCTTACAAAACCAAGAAGAAATCATGAAGAAATGTTTTAATTATTGAATCTACACAATTGAAATCATGGCTACATCAGCAAATCTGGATATTGGAGCCCAGCTTATAGTGGAAGAGTGTCCCAGCACTTACAGCCTGACTGGCATGCCAGACATTAAAATAGAACATCCACTGGACCCAAATTCAGAAGAAGGATCGGCTCAGGGTGTTGCCATGGGAATGAAATTCATATTGCCTAACCGATTTGATATGAATGTGTGTTCTCGATTTGTGAAGTCCTTAAATGAAGAAGACAGTAAAAATATTCAAGATCAGGTTAACTCTGACCTGGAAGTGGCATCTGTCCTATTTAAAGGTTGAAAGTTATGGTATAAATATCTGCATTTGTCTTTGTTTTGTGTATTTGGTTTTTTTCCCCAATCATGAGATTTTGAGTTTGGGAAGACAATTTAGAAGTCATTTTTAAATACGATTTTGGAATCTCACAGAAACCAAAATTAAAATAATTTCAGATTATGTAATATCTAACTTAAAGGAAGTGCATGTTGATTTTTTTAAAAACACTTCTTGTTTAATATTTGTTTATTTACAGATTCTCTAATGAAGTTCCCTATTATTCCTTTTAAAATCTTAAACCAGGCACAGTGACTCATGTCTGTAATCCCAGCACTTTGGGAAACCAAAGCAAGCAGATCACTTGAGGTTAAGACCAGCCTGACCAATATGGTGAAACCTTGTCTCTACTAAAAATACAAAAACTAGCCAGGCATGGTGGCGCAGGCCTATAATCCCAGCTACTTGGGAGGGAGGCTGAGGCACAAGAATTGCCTGAACCTGAGAGATGGTAGTTGCAGTGAGCTGAGATTGTGCCACTACCCTCCAGCCTGAGCCACAGAGTGAGACTCCATCTCAAAAAATAAAAAAATCATAGGAAAGAAAATTCCTTTTAGAAATAAATTAGCTTAATATTCATTCCTGAATATTCCTGTTCCATAAATATTTAATGTATATTCACTTTCTATGCTTTAATGCAGTGAAGTCTGTCATCATGCTCTAGATTTACTTGATACCCTGAATAATAAAACTATTCTCTTAGGAAAACATCACTCAAGAATAATGTATTTTTATTCTAGAACTTTCACTATGGTAGTATAGACTTCAAAACTCAACCACTGTGCAAACAAGGAAGTGTGGACTTTTATGAAAAAATCAATTTAGTATCACTTGATAAGTAATTTAATTGAAGCTATTATATCTCATGTATTTCTTTTTAAATGTAGACATTGACATAGAACTCTTATTGAAATGCTTTTAATGTGTTTAAATTTGTTTTTTACTTAGCTGAATGCAATATCCATACATCTCCTTCTCCGGGAATTCAAGTAAGGCATGTCTACACTCCCTCTACAACAAAGCATTTCTCACCCATCAAACAGTCAACTACTTTAACCAACAAACACAGAGGAAATGAGGTCTCTACCACACCTCTGTTAGCAAATTGTAAGTATCTGCAACTGATGTATTACTGTATTCTTTTTCTTAATATAATACTTTGAAGAATTTGACTTTAAAACATTATTTTCATTAAATGCATATTCTCTGGATAAATAAAATTGTGTTGTATTACGCAATGGAAAACTATTCAACCTTAAAAAAGAAGAAAATTCTATCATTTGTAACACATGGATGAACCTGGAGGACATTATGCTAAGTGAAATGAGTCAGGCATAGAAAGACAAATACCACATGATCTCACGATATGGGACATCTGAAAAAGTAGAACTTAGTGGAAATACACAGTAGACTTGTGTTTACCAGAGGCTGGGAGAGGGGAGTAGATGCTGAAAGGGTAGAGATATTGATCAAAGGATGCAAAGTTTTTGCTAGACTGGAGGAATACTTAATGACCTATTGTACA